ATATATATATATATATATTTTCACCTTTTTATGTTGAGACAGAGTCTCACTAAGTTGCCCAAGCTAACCTTGAGCCAGAGCTCCTCTTGCCTCAGCTTCCACAGTAGCTGGGGTCACAAGATGTGCCACTACTCCTGACTTCTTTTGAAACTTTTAATTTAGAATAATTTTACACTTAAAGAAAAGTGGCAAACACTGTGCTGAGAGTTGGCACACAGGACCCCTTCATCCAGCTCCCCCTAACGTTAGCTGTGATCTGATGTAATCATAGCCGGAGCCAGGAAATTAATATGGATGCTATTACGACAAACCAAACTCCAGCCTTTATCCGGATGTTGCCAGTTACCCCACTAACATATCTGTTCTAGCCCAGAGTCGAGTCCAAGATCCCATTTTGCATTCACTTGCCCAGGCCCTTAGCCTGGTCCCACCTGACAGTCCCTCAGCCTTTCCTTTCCCTTTGACCCAAGATGATTTTAAAGAGTGCTGGGCAGTTATTCTGTGGGCCTCATTTGGATATGTCTCTGGCTTTCTGATTAGACTGAGGTTATGAGGTTTGGGCCAGCTTCACCAGAGTGATGCTGTGTTCTTCTCTGTATCGTATCAGAGAGTTTGGGATGTTGCTGACTTATTTTGAGGATTTTAACCTTGATTGCCTAGATAATGGGGTGTGTGATTTACATGGTATATGTTTATTTTGTGTACCATGTAGTTGCTATTTCAGAGGATAGTATTTTAATGGCTATGTGTCTGTCCATTCTAGAACTCTTAACCTAAACACACCTTCTTTTTGTACATTTAACTTGTGACTTTCCGTGTCATTATAAAGAATACTACGGTGACCTTTCCTCTTGGTACAAGCTTGCACATATCTCTAATTATTTTATCAGCAGAATCACCGGAGCAAAAAACTTACTCATATTTTTGAGGTTCTGGATGCCAAGTGCAGGGTTATATTTTTGTTTGTGTATTTCCTTATTTGAATCAGCTTTATCAAGGTAACATTTACATATAACAAAATGCACAGATTTGGAGCACACACTTCAGTGAGTTCTGGCAGATACGCAGACCCATGCAATCACCATCCCAATCAAGATACAGAATTTTTCTGTCACTTCCCTAAATTCCCTGATGCCCCCTGCATTTAATTTTCCTACCCTTCACCCCAGGAAGCCACCAATCTATTTCCTATCGCTCCATGTTAGCTTTTGCCTGCTCTTGGTCTCCAGACAAACCAGAATTACACAGTATAGAGTCTTTTACAACTGTCTTCTTTGATTTGACATGAAGTCAGTGAGAGCCATTCACATTCTTGCAAATACTGGCCATTTGTTGATTATTATTGCTGAGTAGGATCCTATTGCATAAATATTGCCAGGATTTGTTTACCCGTTCTTCCGTTGATGGACGTTTGGGCTGTTTCCAGTTCGAGGATCTTATGAATAAAGCTGCTAAGAACATTTCCATACATGTGGACATATGTTTCCATTTCTCTGGGGTAAATACCTCAGCATGAATTACAGGGTCATGAGGTAGGTTTCTGTTGACCTTTATTAGACACGACAGGACAGGGTTATTCTCGTCTCCATTTTATAGCACGAGCTGCAGGAAGCTCGCAGGGCTCGTCCAAGGGCACGGGAAGGGGTGTTCAGGAGGACTTGGGGTCAAGCACATTGCTGGGTGAGTCTCCACTCATCTGCTTCTGCTCCTCAGAGCAACCTTGTGGTGGGGAGAATGGCACTCCCATTCTGCAGGAGAGGAAACTGAGGTTCACAAATGTGCAGCTCAATGGGCGGCGCCAGGTCCCCTTTCTCTCCCCAGCTGCCTCCTGCGAGGAGGGGCAGGAGGTCCTGGGAAGGTTGCGCATCTCCCTGCTCTTACCCTTCTGGCTTGTGTTACCTGTACCAGGTGACCTCCTGCCCAGGTGCCTGGGGGTAGTCACCTGTGATACCTGAGACAACCATTAGGGGTGGTCTTCTGGAGAGGCAGCGACTGTTCCCCCACATTTCGCTTTGAGCCCTCCAACGCTCAGCAAGAACCAGAGAGTGACCACACTCCAGCCCTGGCCCAGAAGCGTAGGGTTTCTCCCTCCCTGAAACCTGATCCTGGGTGTTTTGATCTTCTGGGCTGGTGGGTGTTGGGTGAGGGTGCTGGGCAGGGGCCGTGTCTCCCTGGCCATATCGGGCCCCATTAAAGCTGGCCTGAGTGCTTTCCAGAGCTGATTAATGGCCTGCCTGTGACCTAGAATGTCATTACTGCTGGGCCGAAGCCCCCCAGCTTGGTCCTTTGGGTCTTTACTGCTAATAATAATTGATGCTCTTTGTGTGGTTGCAGGGAAAGTTCTATCTGGTCATTGAGGAGCTGAGCCAGCTGTTCCGGTCGCTTGTCCCTATCCAGCTGTGGTACAAATACATCATGGGTGATGACTCCTCCAACAGCTATTTCCTGGGAGGGGTCCTGATCATTCTCTACAGTCTCTGCAAGGTAAGGTGGCCTCAGGGGTTGAGAACTGGTCAGAGGAAGGCTGTGTCCCTAGACCAGGCCTCAAAAGACCATGGCACTATCATTTCTGTTATCTTTTTTTTCCTTTCCTTTTTTTTTTTTTTTTAAGTCAGAGTCTCACTAAGTTTCCCTGGCTAAACTTGAACTTTCAACACTCTTGCCTCAGCCTTCCAGCCTAGTGCTTTTTATTTGTAAATTGGGATAAAATTTCACAAAACGTAAAATGAACTGCTAACCATTTTGAAGTGTGCAACTCAGTGGCATTTAGCAGAGCCACAGTGTCATGGATCTACCACCCCGCTACCTAGTTCTAAGACATGTTCACACCCCAAAACAAAAGCCGCTACCCAATAAGCAGTCAGTCCCTCATTTCGCCACCCTCCCTTCCCCCAGCTCCTGGCAACCACTTTCTGTCTTCTCAATTCACCTATTTTGGATGCTTCAGATAAATGAAATCTTGTAATATATGCCTTTTGGTGTCTGGTCTCTTTTACATAACATTTTTGAGGTTCATCCACATCGTAGCAGATGTCAGTACTTTTTATGGCTGAATCCGCCTCAGTTTCTTGCCCACAAAGCTCACCATATGCTCTCTTTCCACTTAGTCATCTTCACGACAGCCAGCCAACTTACATGCCATTATCACTCCCATTTTATAGGCACAGAAACTGAGGCTTAGAGAGATGAAGTTACTTGCCCAAGGTCAGAAATAACAGCAAGCATCAAACCCCATCGCACTGCCTCCGAAGCCTGGAGCTCTAAACCACCATACCACTGAAGTTTTTTCCCTCTTTCTTTTTTTTTTTTTTTGGTTTTTCTCCAGTACCGGGAACCAAACTTACGACCTTGCGCTTGCCAGGCAGGTGCTTTTGCCGCTGAGCTAAATCCCCAGCCCCCTTTCCCTCTTTCTTATTTCCAAAATATTATCCCTCTATGTTACACATCCTCAACAATGCAAATCAGTATGCAGTGCTTTCCTTCTCATTATTAATATAAATCAAGGGGTTCTCCCCCACACACACACAAAAAAATACATTCTCCTTTTTTGTTTCACAGTCTCTATTTCTAGCTTTAGAAAATTACAGGGGAATGTGTATGTTCTCTTTCCTTCCTCCCAGCAAGACTGGCAGGCAATCCATGCCATATCAAGCATGGGGCCTTATCCTGTTGGCAATTCTGATTGACTGGGAGTGGCAGAGTGGAGAAAGATTATTAAATTTCGGCTGGACTTGGAGAAAGAGTGCTGTGATCAATTAGCAATGTCTGCCCTGGGCTTGGGAAGGGGAAAATGCAGTATGTGTGCCATTTACTTGCTCTCCTGGCCTAGGTTGTAGGGGAGATTTTTGATACCAGGCAGCAACACAAAAGCCAAACAAAACTCATGCAAATGGGAAGAAGTTTCTTGAAAATATTCTGAGCACAAGACAGGGACAGACTCTGCTAGAAAGGTTGTTCAGGGGTCATGGGAAATCTGAACACTTTTCAGCCATCATTCTGCTCTCTTTTCAGTCATTTGATATCTGTGGCCGTGTGGGTGGAGTCAGAAAAGCCCTGAAGCTTCTCTGCACCTCTCAGGTGAGTCGGTTCCAGGTGGTCCTGACTGAGGTCCCCAAAAGTGGCAGCTGGAAATGGCAGCAGGTCCTTCCTCACCCCTCAGACCTCACAGGGCCCCTGAGGCCATGACTGTGCTCATCTTTTCTAAACTCAAACAGAATTATGGTGTCCGAGCCACTGGGCAGCAGTGCACCGAAGCTGGAGATATCTGTGCCATCTGCCAGGCTGAGTTCCGAGAACCTCTGATTCTCCTGTGCCAGGTAGGCAAGGCTGCACGTAGACCCAGGTTGAAATCTAAGCCCAACCTCTTACTTTCTGGGTGGCCTTGGGCAGGTAACTTGGCCTCTCTGAGCCTCAGTGTCATCAGTAAAATGTAGACGTGCCAGATTCAGAATGGTGTAGTGTCAGAATCCCCCAAGTGTGATCCCAGCTGCATTCCTGACCCTCCATCTCCCCTTGCTGCTTTTAAAATGAGCATGATAACAATACCCATTTCACAGCGCTGTTAGCATGCTTTAGCGAAACCGTCTATGGAGAGGGCTAAATTTGAATTACTCAGCCACAGAAGTTGCTAGTATTATATTTATGATTATAGGTGTAGTTATTATTGCCATTTATTTTCATTTTGTCAAGGGTCATGAAGCCATGGTGGTAAGTGCTGGTCAGTCGCTCTTAACTGCCTAAATGGGTCCCTTCTCCCCCTCCTGACATCAAGAGCTGGGTGTCAATTCAGCAGATGTGCATTGGGTCAAAGCATCCTATTAGACACCAAGAGGGGAAGCAGGGGGCACACAGAGCCTGTCCTCTCCTCTGGAAGCTGGTGGCCTCCTTGGGGAGACAGACACATACATAAATAACCATGAAACAAGGCAGGCGGTGATAAGTGCTGTGTAAGAGAGATTCATGCAGGGTCCCAGGGGACCAGGGCAGAGAGCAGTGCATTCCAGGCTGGGAGGATTTTTGGAGGAGGCATAAGCCTGGAGCCCAGAAGGAATGGAAAGACAGATGGCCTGTCCAACACCCTCTGAAGGTGGGACAGAAGGTGGGATCCTCTTTTAATATTCAGAAAATTTTCTGTGTGTGTTATTACTGTTTGGGGATTTTAGAAGAGTTTGTTTTTCACTTGATTTTTAGCTTTATTTCTTTTTAAATGGATCCTTTGTTTTTTTGTCTTTTTGAGACAGGGTCTGGCTATGCAGTTCAGGCTGGCCTTGGCCTCACTTTGTTGCCCAGGCTGGTCTCGCACTCGCAATGATCCTCCTGTCTCAGCCTCCTAAGTGCTGCGATTACAGGTGTGCACCACCACGCCCGATTAAAATTGATGCTTTGTTTGCATAAGTCAAAACTGGAAAAGGAGCCTGAGTCAGCCAGACAACTAAATGCAGTACTGGATCTGGAATAGAAAAGGGACATTCAAAACGCTAGTTGGGTGAAATCTTAACCAAGCCTGGCGTTTAGTAGGTAGCAATGTATCCATGTGGGTTTCTTAGCCTTGATAAATGTGTCATAGAAATGCAAAAAGATAATATTAGGGGAAACCAAAACTGAGGATGAGCATATGGGGATTTTCTGTACTATCTTTGCTACCTTTCAAAAAGCCTAAAAGTATTCAAATATAAAAGTTTATTTTCAAAAACATCGCAATACATAGAAGAATGGTGACGGACCTCCTACCTTTGTCCACCAGATGGCTAATCCTCCCTTTCCCACACAAGCTACCAGTGCGAACAGTCTCCTTCATATCTTTCCAGAGATGTTTTACAGAATTTTAACATATATGTTAAAGATACACATATCGCACACGCATCTGTGTACATGTATATACAGATGCACAGACATGCACACAGAAACTTACCTGTTTTTAAAAAGTAGCATGAGTTGAAGCATATTCTACCCAAGCTGCTTTCTATACTTTTTTAACTTGCGGCTCTGTCTTAGAGATGCGCCTTGTTTTATTTTACAGCTGAATGGCATGCCATTTTATGGTTAGAGCATTTATTTTTTCAGTATTGGGGATTCAACCCAGGGGTTTTGCACAGGGCTGTATCCCCAGATCTTTTTATTTTTATTTTTTATTTTGACATAAGGTCTTGCTAAGTTACCCAGGTTGGGCTTGAACTTGGAATCCCCCTGCCTCAGCTTCCCAGAGTGCTGACGTTCCACACATGTGCCACCATGCCCAGCGGATAGACCACGGCGTGCTTAGCCATTCCCCTGTGGAGAGGCATTTAGTAGTTTCTAGTCTGCTGTCATTACAAAGACAGTTGTCGTGAAGACTCTGAAATGTGGGGATCAGTCACACCCACCTAAAAGCATTGTGCTGATTAAGTGAATTAATTTGAGTGAAACATTTAAAGCTACACTGGGCGTGTGATGCAAGTTCAATAAATATCAGCTCTTTGGGGCATGCATCCCATTTTACCCGTGCCCGAGCTCCTTTTAAGATAGACTCCTAGCAGTGGGATTAGTGGGTCAGAGGGTGTAGCGTTTTGACAGATACTGCTAAATTGTCCTGCATGAGGAGAGATCCACTTACACTCCCAGTGTGGAGCGTGACACGGCCTCTTGCTCCCTCCTGCACCAGCAGTGTTATGAAGCCTTTCTGAGGTTTGCCAATCTGACAGGTGACAAACGCTATCTCAGCACAGATTTAATTTGCATTTTCCTAATTATGAGCATGGCTGAGCATCTTTTCATATGCTTTGGAACCATCTGTATTTCCTTCTCAGTTGCAGAGATTATTGGAATATGATGTCAAGGTGAAAGTCTTTCTTCTTCCCTGGCAGTCTCTCTAAGCCTCAGTCTGTTCATCTGTCTTCCATTCTTCTGGTACCACCGTGTCTTTCCACACCTGGATTAGAAATTCTTGGGATGAATCAGACAAAACACTATAGTCCCAGATGTAGAGTGGCAGCCACACCCAGCGGTGGTTGGAAACCACAGACATCACCGGGTTGAGCACATTTCTCAGCATTGCCCTGCCACTGTGAGCGGAGCCTGGAAAGACCACAATGGCCTGCACAGGTGAAAGGAGCGTGCTCACTTCAAACGCACCGAATGAATGAACAAATGAATGAATGGCTCAGCTCAAGTGTTACTTCACTGATAAAATTTCCCCCAACTCTGTTTCTCCAGACTAGTCTTGTTCCCAGCTACCACGGTTTCATCAATGGCTGTGGTTTTTCTTCATAGCACTTTCTCCGGTTGTTAGCTATATAGTTTATGGGGTAGCTAAGTCGTGTAAGGCCTGTCTCCCTCTGCCACATGACCAGCATCTTAAGAGTGGACAGCATGTGTCTCTTGTGTGGCAGTGAAACCAGTATTCAGTGGATGGATAAATGGGTAGATTGGATTGGATTGGATTGGATTGGATTGGATTGGATTGGATTGGATTGGATTGGACTGGATTGGACTGGATTGGATTGGACTGGATTGGATTGGATAGATGGATGGATAGATGAGATGGATAGATTGGAGGATGGATAGATAGGTAGATGGGAGGATGGATGAATGGTTGGGATGGATAGATGGGAAGATGGATAGATGGATGGTTGGTTGGATGGATGGATGGATGGATGAATAGATGGATGGATGGATGGACAGACAGATAGATGGACAGGGTGGACTGGAGGATGGGTGAAAGGATGGATGGGTGGATTGATAGATGGATGGATGGGGTGGATGGACAGATAAATGGGTGGATAGGATGGTGCTGAGGTAGAGATGTGGGTGGGTGAGTGCAAAGAGGTATAACTGGGTGAGTGACTGTAATAGGTAAGTGGATGGACAGACGGATGGGTAAATAGATGAGTAGATGGGTGAATGTGTGAGTGGGTGGATAGACGGGCGAACACATGGAAGAATGAATAGGTGAAGAACCCACAAAGCTGAGAAGCACCTTGTTTCCTCTTCTAAGAGTCATCAAATGAAGCTCCGTGTGTCACTCCTTCTGCCCCCAGCGCCCCTCCTGATCTAGGACCTGGGAAGCAGCTCGCCACTGGTCAGGCAGACTGAGCACGTTCAGAGGCTGGAACTCTGTTCAGGCACTTGTCCATTAGCCTCTGGAGCCATGGCGTGCTTGAGACGGCACAAGTTGGGGAGAGGTTGTCTTGAACACAGTCAAAAACCCGGTTTATATAAAGGATTCTTTTGTTATTGGGATGAGTGAGGATGCATGTAGAGAACAAACTGCTCTCCAGTTCTCGCTCACTATGAGCTTGTTTGAGTTTTTCTGAGTATCGTATGGTATAAATATTCAAAAAGACAGCAAGAGGATGGTGACCCCTACTGATTTTGTCCTTACAAGCTGCTCACACATTCTGGGTTAGCGGCTGTGTCTGTCTCCATCCCGACGGACACCCTCTCGGGCATCTCTTTCCCTCATAGAGGAGACGCAGGCTCGGAAAGGCAAAGGAGCACATTGGCCTGAGGTCCTGCTGCTCCTCATGCGAGAACCAGCTTTCAAACCCAGCACCTCCGATGCTCTTGACTGTGCCCTTTCCTCACAGCTTGTCCTCATGCTTTGAGGTGTCCTAAGGGCTACATTAAAAGATGAAAAGCCAGGCATGCTGGCACACACCTATAATCCCAGCTCTCTGGGAGGCTAAGGCAGGAGGATCACAAACTTCAGGTCAGCCTGGGCAACTTAGTAAGAGCTTGTCTTTAAAAAATAAATGAGGACTGAAGGATGTAGCTCAGATTTCGCTAGGTTTAATCCCCAGTACCAAAACAAAAAAAAAGATCAGAGCCCTTTCCCTAGAAATGTGCGGGATGTCCCGTGCCATCCAGCTATGACTGCTTTGCACATGGCCTCCTCAAAGTGAATGAATGGCGGAGCTGGGGCGGAGCTCATCACGCTGCTTCTGCCTCCTCCTGCATCCCCTTTGTGTCATCACTTAGTGAGGCCAACAGTGTCCCAAGCTCTGCTGACAGCCCTGAGTAACGCACTTCAGTGTGACACTGACTGTCCGTGTCATTGTCACCCAAGAGTGAAAATGATCATCCCAGACAGCCTGCAGGTATTTTAAAACAGTCATGTGATGGTATGATGTGTGTTTGTTGGTGGCATTGAGGATTGAATCCAGGGCCTTCATATTGAGCTACATCCTCAGCCTTTTATTTATTTATTTTTTTTTTAGACAGGGTCTCATAAAGTTACTGAGTTGCCCAGGGTAGGCCTAAACTTGCAATCCTCCTGCCTCAGCCTCCCAGGATGGCAGGAATATTACAGGCATGCATCATCTGTATATGTGTTTTAAAAAGTATAATGTGCTGTACCAATAATATTCAGTATCAGTGGTTAGTTCTAAGTCTGGAGATGGATAGCCTGGTTTGTGTGGTTAATGAGGATATGTGGCTATAGGGGTGTGGGTGTGTGTGAATGTGTGTGTGCATGTGCACATGTATGTGTCCTGTCTGGTAGTAGCTATGTTTTTAATAATGTCATTTTTCATAATCAAGTGCTTCAAACCTCTCTTCCCACAACCTGCCTATATACACACTATACATAGTAGAACATAGTGGGCAAGAGTTTTGGCTACAGAGTCAGGCATTTTTTTTGTATCAGTTATTCATTGCTGCGTAACAAATTATTCCAAAACATAGTGTCTTCAACATTTATGATCTCAGAGTTCAAGAGTTCGGAGATATGACCAAGAGTCCAGGCATGGTAACTGGGCATGGTGGTAGATACCTATAATTCCAGCACTCTGGGAGTCTGAAGCAGGAGGATCTCAAATTCAAACCCAGCCTGGACAAGTTAATAAGAACTCCTTCCCACCCTACCTTTCAAAAAAAGGAAAGAGAAGAATCCTGTATTTCCCGTCCACAGTTTCTCCCCTCCCATGAGGGCCTGGCTGCTGTGTGGAGGCCCTTCTCCCTACCCTGATTTTTCCTGCCTGCTCTGACCCTTTGGGCAGACAGAGTGAGCCTGGGTGAGATATAGGTGGGAGGGGCAGCCAGTCCAACCGCAAGGCCTGTGTCTTTGCCCTGCAGTCTGGAAGACGCAACCGGGGAGCAGGTCACCCAGCACCTCCTGTGTTCCCTCCCCACTGACCTGCCTGATCCTGCACATGCCCCTGGGCTCAGCAGGGCCCAGTCCTTCTCTCGACATGCGGAAGGGCCGTGAACTCCTCAGCCAGGGCTCTGAGCAGCTCTGACTCTTGGAATTTCGTCACTTGTCCTCCCTATTCTCTGAGGAGGAGACTGAGCCCCTGTGACCCTGACCGGGTCTTTTTCATCAGAGCATCTCAGAGTCTCCCTGTGGTGAGCATTCGTTTCTCCGAACTACCGACAGAGCCCCCCGGGGCTGGGCGGGGGAAGGTGGTAACAACTGTCACTGCCCTTGTTGGCATTCACCACCCAGAGGGTGGTTCAGGCCTTGATGAGCAAGGAATTCAAACAGGGCTTCTCGAAGTGTGGCCAGGGTACCCCTGGGGGCTCTTTTCAAGGGACCTGTGAGATCAAAACTATTTTTATAATAGTACTAAGACATTATTTGCCTTTTTTCCCCACTCTAGTTCTCTCATACATATATAGTGGAGTCTTTCAGAGGTCACATGACCTGTGATGAGGTCATAGCTCTGGTGGCTGATGAAACATCCGCTTGTGTATTCCTGGGCTTAAAAAGTGTCTTGGCATCTACTTCTGATATGGTAAATAGGTTTAAGTCACATGAACAAAGCTCGTTGATGTCATCAGTGATCTTTACAAATGGAAAGGGGCGTTTGAACCAAAACTTGGGAGATGTGTTAAATTAGAAGTGTGAGAAGCCAAGCACGGTGGTGTAAGCCAGTAGTTCTTTCTATACAGGAGGCTGAGGCAGGAAGATTTCTTGAGCCTAGAAGTTCAAGACCAGCCTGGACAACATAGCAAAACCCTATCTCAGAAATAACACATAAGTAGAGATCCTCCATGAATGGGTGTTGCATGAGAGAATAAAAAACTTGCAGATGTAATGGCCACATTTCATTGGCCTAACCCACGCTCAGAGCCTCATGTGACCCCAGGGGCATGTCATATCCTGTCGTGTCAGTACCTCATTTCCCGGGCAACGCTGTGAAGGCTCACTCATTCGTTCAACAACCACTGGCAGATTAAAACCGGCCCAAACCTCAGAAAACTTACCTAGTGCTGCGGCATTTGAGTCTGCAGATCACAGAGGAAGTGCGAGTGGATGCAGGATGTGCAGCTTGCAGCGGGAGAGTGGTGGAGGCAGGGAGGGCACCGTCGGTGGGGACATTGGCAGGGAACAGCGGAGGGCTGGGCTCAGGTAGACACCACCGAAAGGGGAGGTGTGGATGGAGGCTTCCAGCGGAAGTAGCAACTGCCCAGCTGAGGGGCGAGAAAGGGGTCCCCGTCAGCTCCCACAGCCTGTCCTCGAAGGCCACGTGGCCAGTCTTTATCACCGGAAGCCAACGTGTGATGAGGCTGGGGGGCAGGGCAGAAGGCACCACCATGGCAGGCTGGGTGCCTGTTCAGAATCTAGAAGCTGCTGACCCCCAGCTCCTGCCCTTCAGACCCAGGTGGGAACCTAGTATTGTCCTCGGGGCTCTGCATGGGCAGCTGTCCCCTCCTCCCACCCACGCCCCTCCACTGCCTCAGCAGCTCCACGAGGCTGTCCCTGAGTGCCTGGGGGGCCGTCACCGCAGGAGCTTCTCATAAGATGTCTCCTGCAGCCTGGAAAGGTCCCCTCCTCCCCCTCTCTTCACCACTTACCTCCTGAATCTCTTCAGGCTTTGATTCAAGCGTCCCACCTCCAGGAAGCCTCCCCTGATTACCTCCCAGATCAGATTGCTCGTCCCTCTGTTACACTCCACCCCCAGAGCACCAGGGCTCTCTCCCTAATGCCTGCAGTTGGGGACCTGCTGTAGACCATGCTAGGAATGGATTTACAAGAAGCTTAGAGTGCAGCACGGAGAGGCTGATACTACATAATGAACAGACACAAGGTAGAACCATTACCGCGCTCATAGCCAACACTTACAGAGTACTCAGTATTTACCAGACGTTATTTCAAGTGTCTTCCTTTTTATTTTTTTATCTTTCAGAAAATATTTTGGGTTTTTTTATGTTATCGTTCTCCCTAAACTTCTCATTTTGGAAAATGTCAAGCCTACAGATATGTCCAAGGCTAGTGGGAGGAGGGGTACCCTGCTATTCCTAACTATTTGCTAATCACAGATTCACTCAGCATGAGCATGTTGCTACGCTTGTCTCTTTTGATATAAATTTTCCCCTTGAAGCAGTTTTGGGAGTAAGTTGCAGACATTGTAATTCTTTACCCCCAAAATACTTCCGCATGCATTGTCCAAGAATAGCCACAATTTCACCAGGAAATTTAAATAATGTAGTATTGTCTAATATGTGGTGATATATCTGAATGATCCCAGCTGTCTTCAAAATGAGCCTTAAAACCAGGGCTTTTCTCCCCTCCAGGGTCCAGCCAAGAATCATAGATGTGCTTGACTGTCATGGCTAAGTGATTTTAAATATCAGCCAAACATTTTAAGAGGAGCTTACTCTCTCCATTTTACAGATGAGGAAACTGAGGGTCAGGGAGGCTAAGTTACTTTTCCGAGTTGTGTGGTCTGAGACTGGGGAGACCTGTTGGGCTTTATCATCTCCCTGCCTTTCTCTTGATTCCTGTGTTCTACTCCCCACCCAGCAGGCAAGTGGCTCTTTTTAAACTGCAAATTATATTAGTTCACTCCTCCACTCAGCCCTCTACCATGGCTCCCTACTTCTCTGAGAATAAAAGCCAGAGTCCTCCCAGTGACCCACAAGGCACAATCGCCCAGCTCTCTGGCCTCATCTTCCTCTCTCACCTCACACACCTCCTGCTCAGCCACACTCTCCTTGCTGTTCTCCCAGCATGCCAGGTACATGTCAGCCTCAGGGCCTTTGCACATGCTGTCCTTGCCCAGCAGTGCTGTTCCCTAGGTAGTATCAGGGCTTAATTCTCCTGTAAGATTCACCCAGAGCCTAGGGTTGTAGCCCAGTGGTAGAGTAATGCTTAGCATGCATGAGGCCCTGAGTCTGATCCCAGATACCGCCCCTATTCCACACGCCCTCAAAGATTTACCCCAATACCAGTGTCTCAGTGAGGTGCTACAGGCCACCTCCCTGTGTTTTCCCAAGCACTGATGCTCACACCCTGTGTGTTTTTCACAGTGCCAGTCCATCCCCAAGGCAGTGCCAGTTGGGGAGGGCAGGGCCACGTTGTTTGGTTCCCCTCTGTGTCTCCAGTCCCTCAGTGGCCACATGGTGGCTGTCCCCGCAGCACGTGTTCTGTGAGGAGTGCCTCTGCCTGTGGCTGGACCGCGAGCGCACCTGCCCGCTCTGCCGCTCCGTTGCCGTGGACACGCTGCGCTGCTGGAAGGACGGGGCCACATCGGCGCACTTCCAGGTATACTAGCGCCAGACCTCAAGGATGCCCAGCAGGTGCCTGAGGGTCAGCGCCCAAGTCCTGCACTGGGGGTTTCCTGGAAAACAATCTCCAGCACCGAGGTCAGGCTTCCGCCAGCTCCAGCCCCCAGGGTAGGCCTGGGCCTTCACCTCCGCCTCCACCCGCCTTCCTCCCACGTTCTGCAGGACAGTGAGAACACCTTCCCCTCCAGGAGGGGAGGCCTCCTCCTGCAGATGCAGTCTGCCCCAGGTAGGTCATCCACCCTCCTCCGAGTCAAGGAATCTGTAACACATGAAGTTCCTCCCTTCTCTTAACCAAGTACCGAGTTCCTAGTACTCAGTGCTGCGAACTGGGGAGGGGCATGGCAGTCACTGCCTCGACACATGGCCCGGGCCTGCAGTGACACTCTGAAGTATTTTCAGAGTCCAAGCTGCCGTCTACCTAGATTAACTTAATGGATCGGTCACTTAGCATGTGCCAGGCACAGAGTCGAGCATCTAGTGTGGATCACTTCCGGTCATCCTCACCACGGTCCTGTCGTGGACTGTGGTACACTTGGCCCACTCCCACTTGACAGCTGCGGAAACTGAGGCACCAAGTGTGATGTGGTAACTCTCCCCAGAGTCCTCTGACTAGCGAGGGCTAGCTGAGCTCCCAGCCATCACGGGCCTGGTCTGGCGTCAGAGTCCGCTGAGGCTGCAGGTGTCGGGCCCAGCAGACCTGAGAGGTTGAAAGCACAGCGGGTGGTTTCGATGCCCCTCCCTGCTTAAGACTTTGTGGCCTTGCTGGGTACGGTGGTGCCTGCCTGTAAACCCAGCGCTTGGGAGGTTGAAGCAGATCAAGAGTTTGAAGCCAGTTTGGGCTACATAGGAAGATCCTGTCTCAAAAAACAAACACAAAGGAGTGCAGCACGGGTGTACCGCATCGTGGGTACGGACCACACTGAGAATGTGAGCCGTGCGCGCCAGCTCCTGAAATCCGCTGGTGGCTGCGCCCGTGGAAAGACTTCCAGCTCTTCTCCTGGGATCGGGCTACAGTGCTCAGTCCCATTTGGGTTCAGATATGATATCCCTGGGTGTCCCGTTCCTGTTTCTTTTCTCCTCCTTCCATCCTGTCGTCTCCCTCACGCCTGTCAGCAGCTTCTGTGGACCTGGCTATCTCCTCCAGGAGGCTTCAGAGCAAAAGCGACAATCCGTAACGTGAGCCAGGGGGTGGTGTGGACCACAATAGATACCATGTTTTGTGATCGCTGTGACAAGGCTGTTTGTCTGCCCCTGCAACTCCTGCTTGGAGATCTGGGCTACGATGGCAAAGGTGACACAGAAGCCACTGGAATCTTGCCCACCCTACCGCTCTCTCAATTCTTTCTCTTGTCGTCAACCTCAGCACAGTGGCATGTGGCACCAGCCGAGTTCCAGAGAAAGCCTCTGTCTGACTAGTGAGCAGGTTAGCATGCCAGCCCCAGGGACAGAACAGAGCCCTGCTCCCCGCCGGCAGGTGCAGGACATTTGTCCCCGTGTGCCGCCGTGCCGGGACTTCATCTTTTGCTTGACATCCTTGGCTCTTTCCTGCTGCCCAGCAAGACTCCCCTTCCAGGGCAGCATGGCATCTTTCAAGCTCTGTTACTATGGTGACGGCTGTGATGTTAACAATCCCACTTGTCTGGATAATCAAGTAAGAAAGGGAAGCAGAGGGAAACATACAAGTGGATTCGGCTACTCTGTCCCCTCCACCTTCTCCAAAACAAAGCAACAGGCACTTCGGCCCCTGGTTCTTATCAGAGAGAGCGTTGTGCCCGCCAGTGCTGTCAGAGGCACGAGGGGCGGGAGCCGGCCAGGACTTACTCAAGGGCCAGCGCGGGATGGAGACGACAGAGCGGCCTGTTGGGAGGCAGACCCGGAATCCTGGCTGCAGACTCCTGACCGCGTGGCTCTGGGAAGTCAGTCCCTTTACCTGCTGTCACCATCGCCGGGGTGACCAAAGCCGGTGTGTTGTTTGCTGGAACCAAGGCAACTAACAGTGCGGGTTACTGGCGGATACACCCATGGTTTCGCCCATTACACCCATGCCTCCGAAGGAAGTGTTCCCTTAGCATTTTGCAGACAATGAGCCATGCCTCTGACACTATAAAGAATGTCACCTGTGGGGCACCTCTGGGGGCAGGTGGGATGTGTTTGTTCATTCCCTGCCCTCCAGGGAATCTTCACATCTGGAGATTTTCTTCTGGGTGGGAGGATTCTCTCTCGGCCCTGGAGGGGAGCAGAGGCTTCCAAAGAGATTTTCAAGCAGCAGGCTGCTCCGATTCCACTACGCTGGAGTGGAAGCAGCCAGGAGTCCCTGCCGAAGCAGAAGAGTGTCGCCGTCCTTTACCCACGTTCCCTGCAACTCATTGGTTGTAAACAGGATTAATCAAGTATCAGGTTCTGAGCGTCCTGCTCTTAATATTTTATGACTCACTGAGTCACAGAGCCCTCGGAAATAAATAGTCCTGTTCATAGAAGCACACCGGAAGGTAATCCATGTGTGGGAATAAGGAGGGTGCACTCTGGACTTGGATCCAGAGAGGAGGTGCTGTGGAGCCTCGTGACATCCCAGATGCTCAGGAGGACGTGTGACAGTCCTGGGATCTTTTAATACTTTCCTTCTGGGGCAAGCATCTGCCTTCAGTGTCTTTGTGTCTCCTGAAGTACCCTCTGCTGATAAATGTCATCTGTTGACAGAACTCGTGTTCGTGTCTTGATTATCATGTCAGCTCTTGAAGGCAAGTGGAACTGCTTCAGGTGAAACCAGAAGCGGCGCTTTGTGGAGGGGGTCATGAGCATCCATCGGTTCCTCCCAAAGCGGTCTGCTGAGGTGCATGTGACTTACTAGGGCTGAGGGAAAGAGCAGGTCAGGGGAGGAAGCAGAGCTAGCCAGTGAGTTCTAGGGAGGCTCCAGCCTCAGCTTGATCCCCGGGGGAGCACCACAGAAATACACCAGCCAAGCTGAGATGGTAGTACACGCCTATAATCCCAGCACTTGGGAGGCTGAGGCAGGAGGATCGCCATGAGTTTGAGGCCAGCCTGGGTTGCACAGTAAGTTCAAGGCCAGTCTGAACTACAGAGTAAGAGCCTGTCTCAAAAACAAAACCAGCTAGTCCTTGGCTCCGGGTTGGTGGGGGTGGGGCTGTCATTTCAGGCTCTCCACTGAGGAGGCCCCAGTGCCCAAGGAGAGATACCTGGAGCCTCAGGTGCCAATGAGACACACAACTACAGGATGGGTACACAGAATTGGCAGAAGGGATCAGGAATGGCTCAGAGAGGCCCTTATACTGCTTACCACTGGGGCTGCCTATCATTTATATGAGCCCAGTACAGGCTGATTCAAGAAGGTTTGCCTGGGTGCCAGATTATGGTGGATATTTAAATATAAATTATTAGCATTACTTGAGAATTCTGTGCCTCTCAGAGCAACATGGTGATATCTACCATAAAAACATCATTGGGCAAAACCTTTTGGTTGCCATTGTTAGAAAACCAATTCAAATATGCCTTAAATTTTAAAAAGGCTTTATTTGGTTCATGTGATCCTGTGGGCTTCAGGTACAGCTGGATCCAGGGGCTACAGATATGCTATGGAATCCTGCGTCTCCATCCCTCTACTCTGTTTTCCTCCAAGACAGCTGGGTCACATGCGGTGGCAAGATGACCCTGCAGTTCTGTGCTTATCTTCCAACAGCTTAATGACCTTAACAAAGACAGCTTTTACATCCCCAAAGCTCAAGCCAACATCCTAAGCTGACCGTCATTTATTTGTCTCTGGACCATAGGGTCTGGAGGATGTGAAGTGTTGTTATGGGTCGAGTGTTGAGCCTTGGAGGTGTGGACAGAGGTGGGTGGGAGGCTGGTGTTAGCCCCTCTAAGCCACCTGGGCTGGGTTGGGTCTCCAAAGGAAAGGAGAAGGTCTACTATCTTAAAAAAAAAAAAAAAAAACAAGCTATCCATAACCCACTATTCTTAGGAAGGGACTTGAACCTGGCCTCTGGGTATGTCTCAGACCAGGAATGTGCAGAACCCAACCAGAGTGACCTGTCTGCCCATAGCTGGGGACATCAGCTCACAGACACATTCACTTATCCATATCATGTGCACAAATCATGGCTTTGCACACTGATTTAAGCGCTTCCACCCAACCTGTTGTTTAACCCAGGGGCAGCGTTTAAGTCACCCCTTCTCTTGAGGGGTTCTCAGGACTTAGAGAAGGTGGTAAGTGGGTGGCCCTCTGCTGCAGGGAAGGTTGGGGTGTGGAGGACCCAAGGTTCTGATTCAGTGGTCCAGCCAGACTGCCCCATGGTCTTTGAGGCCCAGCCTTCCAAATGGAAATGAAGACACAAAAGCCTTTGGCTAGAAGTGCACAACCAATTTTTTAATAAAATCATTACAAATATGTACAAAGCATTTCCAAGGTATGAAATTCCTCTTACAAAAGAGCACAATGAACCAACAGCGTCAGAACCCAGAACAGAATGTCCCCAAGCTTATTGCCTCTCTGGCTGGGCCAGGGGACCCACCCAGGTTCCCAGTGCCCTCACAGCCGTTCTTGCCACGCACACGGGCTCCTTGGTGCTTATAGTGCAAAAGACCTAGGGGGAGGGACTTGGGGGATTCAAATAGGAGAGAAGGCAGGAGGGAAGTGACAGCTTCCCACCTAGGCAATGGTCGGACAGACCCTGTTTGCAAATTAGATGTTCCTGCCCCAGACCTTACTGAAACCAGGAACACAAAGAGTAGGGAGTGAGTCCGCAAAACCCACTAACCCACGAGAGCCTGTGCTCCGGGGTCCCCAAATGTGACACTTTTCCCAGCGGGCCTCAGTCAGGCTCCCAGCTGGTTGCTGGGCCATCCATATGTACTTGCAGTTCACCTAGCAATGCTTGCCCTTGACCTACAAAGCTGTGGTCCACCTCACGAGGAGACCCAGGATAGCAGAGCTGGCAATTCATATGGGGGGGTCATACAGACTTGGACCCAAACCTTGGCTCAGCCACGGCACTCTTTGGGCAGCCTTAGCCACACTGCGTAAACTCTCTGAGCCTCAAATGTCAAGGGGGACTAACAGTACGGTCAGCTGGAGTGGGTGTGCAGAATCACAAGGGGGCACACGTGCAAAGCACAGTCCGCAGTGCTCAGCGGTGGCCAGCTCTCCGGAAAGGGGAGCTGTGGTCACTGAATAAAGCAGTGAGGACCAGTCTGCATGCTGTGGATGAGTGGAGGGCACAAGCTTCTTAATCGCCATCGGCTGATTGCGTGGCACACGGTAAATACTACACAACAATCAGCCAGCAGGGCTTGGGGTCACAGAGGGGACATGACAAATCTGTTAAAAATTGTGAACCAGACTAGAAAGGGACATTTCACATCGTCTGGTTCCAAGCTGGTCTGGCCCTTCAGGATCGATAAGTCAGTCTCTTCTGAGGTGGAACTCTACAACCTGGCACCCTATAGATGCTCAATAAATAGGCGTTGAGGAAATCAATTCAATGTTTAAAAATAAACTTTCAGCTTACGCTTTAAAATGACACTTGGACACCAGTTTCCTCCCTCCACGGAGCTTTTCCATTTGGCTCCCATAGGACTAACTGGGGTCTAATGTGCCTCTGACTCCCTAACCAACCTCTGTCTCCCCATTCCCCTGGGTTGACTTAAGGGAGTTTTCAGAAAAGAAATTGGCATCAGCACCGAACAACAAAATCTGTGTTCTGGTCACTGCAGCTTCTAGCACCAAGCGGACACGCCAAAAAGTCCCCAGTGCTGCTCCAGTGTCCCCAAAAGACACTTGTGTAGGAGAAGGATGCGTGAAGATTCAGCCAGTTCCCCAGCAGGCTAGAATGATATTTTATCAATGTCAGAAATATGACAAGAAAGATAGAACTACATGAGATCAGCTCCATAGATCGTAAAACCAGTCACAGCTTCATTGTTCTGTGACAGTATTGTTTAAATCACCGTGTTCCCCATATCAAAATAGTAAAGAAACAAAATGAGACCACTGAAAGACGTGGAAAAGAAATCTCCAGTATGCCAATAAAGGGGAAGGTGGAGGTGGGGACGGGAATCATCTTTAGATGCCCCTGGTGTAGCACCATGGACAGCAGCCAGCGGGGCTGGTGGGCTCTCCAAGAAATTTACTCAAAGTACATCTAGGACAAGGGGAATAGGAAATGGAAACCCAAACCCGGAGAGCTGGTTTTTTGTGGCGGGGTGGGGGATTCAGGAGAGAAGCTTCCAGAAGGGAATGGATCTTATCTGGAAAGCGTGGGGTCCCACGGGGCTGCAGTCCCTACAGCTCCCAGACTCCCCACCCTCAAAGAGCAAGCAGCACCACTAGGAGTGAGGAAGGAAGGGGCCCCTCACCTCATTATGCAGCCAGCTACCTAAGCGATGATCTCAGAGGCCTCCTTCTGCTTTGCACGGACACACACACATGCACACACACATACACACGCACACACTGCTGTCTGCTGAAACCCGATATGAGGTCTTTTTTAAAATTTATTTCAAAGCCTCCCTCCCTCGCTCCCTCCCTCTGTCTCTTCATAGCCGCTCTGCAGTGAAGCTAATCAAAATCAATGACTCCTTGGCAGCCAGAGGGAAGGGGGGGGGCGCCAGCACTTTGCACACTGGGGAAATCTTTTTTTAAAAAACACACAAAAAAATCCATCCCACTATCTCATGCAATCCAAGTAATGTAACAGGAGAGACGGTGGAGACAGTATATACATATATATATATCTATATATATCTATATATATCATGCTTCAATTTTCTAATACAAATGTCCATCAAGAAGTCAAATCTCATATAAAAACAAGCATTAAAAACAACCCCTTGTCAAAAATCGGGGCAGTTGAGAAGTGCACTCAAATTAATAATATGCAAGAAAAGGCCAGGATTTGATACGTACACAGTTTCTAATAATACATGAGAATATGTACAAGGGACTTGGCTGTAAAGCTCCCTCGGGAGGCCGTGGTGCCCAGTTCTCTCAGCATTGCGGCTTCATTGAAATCAAAATTGCCCCAAATGCCAACCCCAGCGTTGGGAGTTTGGATCCTCCAGGGGAAACGTCATCAGAGCAGGCAAGTCAGGGTCCTGGGGGAGAAAAATGGGATCCTCTGACCTTTCACCCTTTCCTTGGGTCTCTAGGGGCCAGCACATCCCCACTTCAATCTTAAAGGTACAGCCTTAAAGAAGCAGAGAACTGTAAGTGAACACAATTGTACTAGTGGGAATCCTGTCCCCAGAAAACGAATCAGTAGGACTTTCGTCACTAGCTAAAAAAAAGGACAAAAATACAAGCAAAGACCATTCCGGGGAGTCTGCCCTCTCAAAGTCCCTGACTCGGTGAGCCCCTCACCTGCTCCCCTCTGCGGCCCCTGCCTGCTCGCTGGTCCCCGCAGACATCACCTGGGGGAAGGCTCCAGTGGCGGGGGCAACACACTTTCCAAGAAACCAGCTTTCTTTTTTGTTTTGCCGAGTTCAGTTAGGGGTGGGGGCATACAGAAGTCGGTGTGTGGGGGGTGTTCCCTTGCTTTTAGCAGTTCTGGGTTGCATTTTTCTTGAAAGGAATCTTTCAGCAAACATAAGGCATGGATTAAAAAACAGCGGAAGTGGAGAAGAAAAGGAAGGTAGGAAGGAAGGAAGGAAGGAAGGAAGGAAGGAAGGAAGGAAGGAAGGAAGG